AGCAACTTACTCTAGGCAAGGTAGTTCAAAAAACAAAAGTTAGGACTATTTGACTGGAGAGATCAAGCACTACCTAAAAGCATGTGTCCAAAATTAGGCAAAAGACTTAATTCAGCCAGCACAAAGATGCAAAACCACATTTCGTTTCTCTAATGTGATCAATGCCCTCCTTTAGCAGAAGCCAAGAAAGCTCAGACACCAGTATGAGAAGAGGTTTACATTTGCACCTCCACTGAACTTTTAACTTAAACAGCCTGCCCTTCCTATTGGCCCAATCTTTTGCCTCCATTGCTTACAAATAGTATTCAACATACATAATATAACTTGTGCAAGTGAAACAGAAAATTCTTCCAGCCCACACCTTCCACAGAAAGAGTACAAGGACTTGGGTTGTGCTGGAAGAAACAAAAAGAAACACCCTTATAAGCAAACACAGGATCTATTCATGCTGATATTTAGGGTCAATCTTAAGGTTATTTCTCAACTATGCTGAGACATATAAGCCACCCTACTGCAACACGGCCCACTTAGTGCCATCAACATTGACATCTTTGACAGCCAAAGTAGGCCCTCTGTCCTGTTTAACATGCAGTCTTCTTTTTAGGCTACTCCTTGACAAAGAGAGAAAGTAATTTAGAAGGATTATGAAGCAGAAGCAGAACACAGAGGGATTACTGCTGGCAGAACTCTAGACTTATGACGACCAAAACAAAGTTAATTTGAACCAATTTCTGAAATTGCAGAAAGCATTAAGCTCATAGAAAAGCAGCAGTAAAATCAGTCTAATCAGGTTGGACAGGTGGTAGTGAGAACTTACCTTTGAGATGGACAGCAACAGGAGGTGGGCTTCAGAATAATCTTCAGGTCTACCTTGCTTATCAAAGCTGAGATTGTACCACTGTCATGCAAGCAACTGGAATTGGATGTTCTAATCTACCCCTTGCCACATATCCATAATCCATCCTGATGAAAGATTACTTCTAGAAAGCATTTAGAAAATAACACAGTTTTTTTTGGTTGTTTTCCCATTGGCTCAAGGATCACTGAGCAGCTGGTGGACATGCAACATGTCTCGTGTATGGCTCCCATTGCCTTCTCCATGAGAGCCCCAAAGGTAGAGGAGGAGCTCCAGGGATAAACAGGCAAAGGTCAACCCTGATGACAGAAATAAGATGAAAAACTGAGATCTGCTTTTTTCCCCCCTTCATTTCACCTCCAAAGATAAATTGTATCTCTGATTTTCTCCTGAGAGACTCTCCAATGCAAGATGGACTATAAAAATGCAGTTATTTCTTACTGCTATTGTGTGAACTCAAAAATATGTTCCTTCCTTTGTTTTAAAGAATGTATTAGTGATGCTACATTGTCAAAATGAAGTCTTATTATCAGTCAAGGAACAAACAAAATAAAGATATTTTTTCCTTTGACTTCCAGATAAATCATTAATTATACCACAGACCAGATCAAATTTCATTTAGGTGCTTATAAGAAGAAATGTGTTAACAGTGTAAAATATGTATGTCAAGTTTCAACAAAACAGACATTTGGCTAACAAGCTGTAAGCTCTTCAGAGATGCAGGTCAGCATTATTTTTATCTTATTTAAGGGAAGCATTTGTTTGGCCAGCTGTTGGTCATAATCTGAAGTTCTTTTTTAATTGGAGCATTTAACTTTACCGTAACAACTTTATATGGTGCATCTTCTTAGCTGCCTAGCATTCACTGTGTTCATCCAAGGTGCCAATCACCTTGCTGTCTGTCCTAGTCACTGCACCATTGAAATGTACCTTCACTTGTTTCAGGAAACAAAGAAAAATTATAAACTATTATTAACTCAGTGGTCAAGCTGCTTTCATATTATTGTTTGGGTTAGAAAAAGCTAAATAGGGCTTTAGACCCACTTGTAGTTCCATAATCATGTGCTTTGTCCCATACCTCATCATACCTAGTTATTTGGAATTATTCACAGCAGTTTCAGGGCTGTTTTAAATAATATTTCTAACCTACAGATATTCAAGATATTTTGAACATGCATTTTTTTCAGCAACCACACTTTCAAGTCCCCAAAGATCTAATATCAGATTAACATTGTCATCATATTGTTGAAAAATATACAGGGCTGTCCTTAGCCAGCCTGTTCATCTGGGATTTATTGTTATTTAATGCTCTGAGACAGGTGCAAAACAAAGTTAACAGGCTAAGAAACCAGGAGTTATAACACTGTCAGAAAAACCAGTTATCATAAAAGTATATAGTTGCATTTAACTTCCTTCTATGAAATACTGGTAATTTTATTTATCCTGTGTAATTATCATCCTCTTGTTACTTATTATATGGCTAAAAAAAAAAAAAAAAAGTGAGAAGGTTTTTGGTTGTTTTTTTTTTTTTTGCATTTGGATTAATGAAGCTACATTTCAAACAAAGCTGAAGTTCAGGATTCAACAGGTTCTCCATACCTATGATCTGGACAAGTGAGCAGTTTATAGAGAGGAAGAGGGAAAGCTAAATTTGAAACAGCATGCAAACATGGAACAACATATGGAAGTAACAGTATTGTTTGTCACCTAAGGGCAAAAAGGACTTAAGATGAAAAACATCAGATTGATTTAAAATCAGATTAATTTAAATTTCAGATTTGTTTTCCTTTTAAAGAAGTTGTTTCATCTTTAGACACAGCAATTTCACATCAACTGTACCTTAACAGTGAAGCACACATTATAAAAGAGCCTTTTCCCACCTATTTTCAGCTGCAAAAGTCAAGTTAATCCTTAGTGACTTTTCTCCATGACCTGATTAAGCTTGGTTTGACTGATTTCTGGTTCGAGTGCCATTCTCTTGCAGTGAGAGCAAGTCAGAAATCCTGTCGGCTCAGGGTGACTCTCAAAAGGCAGCTCCTCCCAGAGTCATGCAGGGATAAGAAGACCTTGTGATTCATTTTAAAATCACACCCAAGAAATTCTGGGTGCTTGTTTAGCTACCTGTTTTGTATGCCTACTTCTACTCTGTGTGCATACCCTTACAGTCACTTGCAGTGTGTAGAAAAAATGCAGCTCAGGCATCTATGATTCACAGCAGGAGAAAGCAAATTCTTCCCAAGACCATGTATTTGGCATCCTGTCACTTACATCACACATTTCTGACAGAGATAGCCTATCTTCTGCCTGTTGATAGGGAGACATAAAGTTTAAGTCAATGAATCTTTCATACAGGAAACTGCAATTCATCACTAACATAATGTGGAACATTCCCTACCCACCGAAAGTATGATTTTCTTTCAGGTGAAAGGATGTCTATCTCATCATTATGCATGATTTGTATATTTTTTAGAGACAGCAATGATATTTTAAACTAAGGAAAGAATTGATTTCTGACAGCAACAAAAAAATTAATATGGAAGAACACTCTCAAGACCATAGCTATTATTAACAACCTTTTCCTGTCACTTATTTCTGTATACCTAATGCAGCAGGATTGCTTCCAGACAAAAGTCACAAGGGTTACATAGTCTACATATAGATGCATTGTTCCAATCCAACCCATCTCACTAAGACACTTATCCAAGATCTGGTACTCTCTGTGGAGGAACCTGTCTTCCCACAGACTATACAGGAGATCAGAGATATATAACTATGGTAAGTTAGTTTTTTGACTGGCTAATGGTACAAGGACCAGATACCTTCATAGATCTATTTTACAATTTGAAAGTATTTTTACATTTCAAAGAGCCTTCACAGTAATTTCAGAAGTTTTCATATGGAGTAAAATCTTTGCTTGGCCAGTTGGATAGGCTGAACAAGATTCAAAATCCAAAATAATTATCTAATGTCTCTTGTCTCTAGAGACTGCAAAAAAATACTAAACCAGCAGCTGGATAATTGATATCAAAATATAGAAATACTTACAGGAAAGACATGCAGGGAGTGCCAAATCAAATTAAGAAAGGAGTTTAAGGTGACAGTGCCAAACCAGCTAGCTGTTCCCACCGAAGTTAGAAGAAACATTTACAAGAGCAAGACACCCAAAAATCAAATTATTTAGCAAGATATCAAGATTTAATTTAGAAGCCAAGTAGGACTGGTTTTCAAAAGTATTGCTTACTCAGGCTTTTTCTCCAAACCTCAAAGAAATAGTGGTGAGATAGAATATAGCTCTTGAAAATAGGACCTTTAAGTAAAAAATTCAATATGTATTTAAGTCTCAGACAAACAATTTAGAAAATGTCTATCCTTTATTTTCTTGTGTAAAGCAAATAATACTAGCCTGTTGCAGTTGCCAAATGCACAGCAGGAAAGTGAGACCCTCTTCAAAGTAAAAGTTATCATCAGTAAAATATGTTTGTAAAATTTATGTGCTCTCAAAGCAAACCTAAGCCTTTTATATAAAACTTAGAGAAAACAAGAAAAGCAGAGTGTGGAAGGCTGCAGAATGAAGGTAAACACAACAATTCTTAAATGGAATTTGAAGCTCGGACCAAAGCTAGAGCCTTTGGACCTCGCCAAAATTTTATTTGAGCACAGTAGTAACTTTTATTACTGCTCTAATGCACAGGAATGTGTCCTACAGAATGCCCTGACAGCTATTACCCTCCTGGGTGTTGCAGGGTAAGACAGCCCAATGGCTTTGCAGGAGGACTTTTCCAGTGCAGCCAGTGTGTCACAACATGCATAGAGCAAACACCCTTACCTGTGTGTCCTATCCTGACACTTTCACATATGTAAGGGTAGAAAATATAGTTCTTATTTTTGCTTTCACCTTACATGTTGATTTTTTTATATATCTGAAAAGTGAAAAGACCCTTGTTACAGAAGTTGTAGCTCAAAATCTAGGGATGTTCATTTCCTCTGAAGTGATAAATGGCCAATTCATAACAGGGCTGGTTTGAGAATCAATACAGGCACTAAAGTATGGTTGAGATGGCCATTCTGGTTATTATCCGTGTGCACAGACAACGGTAACACAAAAACACCAGTATCTGAGTATTATGTGGTTACCTCATCTCTCTTTACTAAGGGGCACTGTCCTTCATCAGTGTCATCAACAAATCAATTGGTCGCTTAAGATGTCTGTAAGTGCTCGTCTTGTCTTTTGCTTGAAATGTATTGCAGCCATTTTTCCGTTACATTTCACATAAAAAGGATTTGCTGAAGCTCTGCAACCAGGATAAACCAAAGAACCGATTTACTGAAATAGCTTAGAAATGGTTTAATATTGCAGTGGTGTCAACAAAGGAGATTTTTAAAAATATCCTTTTGACAACAAAAGAAAAATATCCTTTCCAAAGCTATGCATAAAGGGAATCTTTTTTAAAAAGTTTTCATACCTGTCTAATGGGGAAAACAACATTCACATGAAGGGGGATGGGATTTGGATCTACAAAGACTTCACTATTAACTGTATTTTCAAAAGTGAAGTGACAACCAATGCTATTAAATGAAAATATCTTCCCCTTGGCAAACCAAACAGAAGAGAAAAATGAAAATAAAGATAAAAATATGAAGCAATGTTTAGTTCTTCTGCAGAGTCTCAGTTTTCCTGTAGCCACAGCTTTTGACTCCTTAAGAAAAATTTCCATTGGTCAATTTACAACCCACCAGAGCTAGTTGAAACACCTGGATTCTCGGCTTCAAAGCTGTAATTTTGTGATTCTGTGAACTTTTCTCTTTCTTTACTACAGATGTTATCTGAAGCTATCTGTGTCCACAGATTTTTCCACAGCAGATCACAAGTAATATGCCGTAGCAATGGCCATCAGATTTCATGAGCCAAGGCAGCATTCACAGCCCACACAAACAATGCAACCACCCAGTAGAAATCTATCCTGCAAAAAGGAGAGGAGAGTTTATACATATATTTCTCCGAACTTCAAAAGTAGCAATAGCAATGGAATATGTTTAAATAGCAATGGAAGTATGATTAAAGATTCTTACACGCATTATAATTTAGGTCATTTTCACGTTTTCTCTTAACGTAATTTCTCTACAGTTTCCTCACTACCTATTTGACAATAAATGAAAATGGATGGAGGAAGTAATTAAACAAAAATTGAATTTACTTTAGAAAAAATAGAAAGGACTTAAACTTCTTAAATTGGTCCTTTGATGTGGATAATTTTCAAAACTGGGCCCTATTATAGATTGAAGAATGACGTTAAGTTTTTTTGCTTAGCATAATCAAGCTCCAGTGAAACTTCTGAAGAAAAAAAGTGTTAATAATAGCAAAGGGAACAAAAATATTACATATAAAGGGCCAAAGTCTCTAGCATAATGAAATAAAGACAGCATGTCTGCAAATTCAGTCAAGGTAAAGGCAAACATTTCCATTGCCTATTACTTTAAAAGAAGTTAAAGAGCACTGAATCAATAAATCACTGAAAAGATTATTATTTTGTACAAGCTGAAGATCAGTGCAGGTCATTCCCTCTAAAGCAGACAGAGTTTGTTAATTTAATCCAGCAGATTTGGAAGGGAAGCCAAACAGGAATTTAATCAGCAGCAGAAGGTGGTGAACATCTCTGAAAATTGAATAATCATTGTGCCAGACAGTAAACATCATTACAGAAGGAAAAAAAGGAAAGAACAAAAATTTTGCCTTTTCATACTTTTCATTAACTTCTTCAAACAGGTAATAAATGATTTAAAACACCTGTCTCTGGAACACAAAAACACCACAAATGAGAGCAGACAGTGAATAGTTTAGCACATTTATGATGACATTAAATTTCTCTTAACTAAAGCTCTTCCTTCTTCTGTATTGTAATTTTTTCTTTAACACCTGTCTCATGAAGTAATATTGTTATTTCGCTAATTTAAAAAAAAATATATTAATTCACTGTTTCAACTCTTATCAGTTCATGGGAAGACAAGAAAATCAAATGTTCTCAAATGCACTTTCCTATGTTTTTTAATAATTGCTCAGGATGGGAGGCTGTCATTTGAAGCACTTCAGCACAGTTTATGCCAGCATTTTGTTTGGGGGTTAGATTTTTTTTTTTCATTAAACTTCTTCTACCGAAAAATACTTCTCTAAATCAGTCATTCTCTTTCTACCTATGTCTAATTTAATATTTTTCTTCCCATATATATTATAGACTCACATCATAAGAGGATAAATTCTGCCCTCAATAAGCAGAAATTCAGGTAAGCTGATGTGGTAAAATATTCCATGTCTTCCACTGACACAAGACTTAATCCTTTTGGTTTATAAAAGAAATTCTTAAAATGGAACTTTGGGTTCTAAATTAAAATGAATCATTGATGAAGTCATTCAGATGACTCTGTATTTAGTAAAGTTAGGTTAATCTGTAGAGATGTCATATTAACAGTAAATTTCAGACTTAGGCAAATATAGAGAGAAAAATCTCCATTGGAAAATGTTTTTCTGAAACAATCTTATATAATGAAAAAATTAGTGAGTCAGAATTCTGGAATTTTAGGGAATAAAACATTTTTTTTTTTTATTTTAAAAGCAGAAATGTCACTTCTTATTCCAGTGTGAAATTGGAATTGAAAGGTCTTTAGGCCCTTAGCCCTCATAGACACTGCTATGCCCACCAAGTACCTTTTTCTGAATCAAGGAAACATACAGCCACAAACTAAAATATTTAGGTTTTTCACCTCAGTTAAAATGAATGTGAGACTAGTGAAATAAATAAGAGATTTGTATCAAACATTTTACATTTACATTGCTAGGATAAGAAAACTTATAAATTCTGAATGGATTCTGCTGGCCTGATCTGACACTTCTGCTGGCTAGAAGAAACCAGGCAGAGCCAGTTTGTAGGTTAAAAATTCCAGGAATTTATTAATTCAGTGCTTATTTTCACTTGAATAACAGAAATAGTGATGCTGCTAGTAACAAGAAATAAAATGTGCTGAAATCATCTTTGATGATGCTCAAGGTGTAAATCACCTCTTTCATCTGCAGCAGTTTAAAGTACTGCAAGCATCTTGCTGCTGCATCACAGAAATTAGATTTCTCCTCAACCCGACCAGCATGTAGTATAGATGAAATACTACTGGCACAGCCAAGGATGTGGAGACAATTTCAAGGCATTTTTAATTCCCCAAAACAGAAACCTTTTCATCAACTCACTAAAGGCAACTGCACTGAGCACAGTGCTGTCATACATGTAATTTTATCTAAGTGTGCTGAGAGAAACTTGGGGAATTGTAGCATTTCAGAGAAATCAGGAATGTTTCTGAGATATTGCACTCAGAATGCACTGTTTACTTAGATTTTGCTCATGCTTTGCTCCACAAAGAGCTTGAAGCAGATCCACTGCTGCTTGTGTGTGCAGAGCACCATAGCTGAGGCAAAAAGCATTTCTAAGGTGCTGTCTTGCCAGAGGGCACGTCCCACAAATGATTTGTAGGATATATCCACATTGGCCTTTCACTTCAGATCAGGAAAGTGCTTTTGAACTGGATCTCCCAACCAGTTTCACTTGCTGCTGTCTGTGTCGCTTTTGAGAGTGGTTCTGGGTCCCATCAGCAAGGGCACTTGGGCTGTTAGTGGGGTGCAGTGCACAGACTCAGTGTGACAGCAGCGAAACCCGCACGCTCTGCACATCCAGATGTGAGCTCCCCTGCACCAGCTGTTTTACCCTGCTGATCCGCTCCTGCTCTGTTGCAGCACCTGGATACAGGTCTACAGTCTGAGTAATTTGGTCTGTCTGGGATGCACTGGGACGGTAATCAGTGATTTCCTTCACAAATTCTGAGACTAACTTGCAGTGGTTATTTTGGGCAAAGGGCAATATCAATCTGTTGCATGGATAGAATTTCTCCAGTATGTTCCATGTATCAAACACCATGTTATATCCATGGTGTTAGAAAACTGATTTTCTAAAGAAATGAGACACCAAAAACCTATCAGATTCTGTTGGAAACTGGGCACCTAACTGCTGAGAAGAAAATTTTCAGTTTATCATGTGGTGGGTTCACTAAAATGCCTTGTCTTGCCATTTTTTTCTGTAAAAGAAAAATATATGCTACAAATACACTTAACTAGCAAACCCACTGCTTGCTAGAAATTCCTGGTGATTTGCTAGCCCTAGCTTGCCATTAACAGTTGTCATTGAGTTAGACCTTTGTATTACAAAATGTGAAGGCAAATGCAAGCTTGGTTCCAAGAGTATCTCCTCTAGTACCTCCTATTTAGGAGGTTCAGCTTTGCAAAACAAGTATCTGTGACTAGAGAGGACCCACTAGGCATTTTCAGTTCTATCTCTATGTAAACATGTGTCATTTCAGTGTTATACTTCATTCTATTTGCAGAGAAAACTTTCCAGATAAAAAATGGATACTTTGAATTTTCAATAAAGATTTTGATGTAGAGAGTCTTAAAAGATGGTGTATAAGATTATTGCCTGCATTTTCTTCTGAAGCAAAAATATTACAAAAATAAAGCTAATTTTCAAAGTTGTTTTAGAGATAAATGATTCATACTTATCAGCTATGAAAAAACAGAAAGTAACAATAGAAAAAGGGGGATGCAGTGAATTTAACAGAAATGCCACATGGTTCTTTTTTAATGATGCTCATATTTTAATCCTAGGACAGATATTTGCAAGATTCCAAATGTTAGCTGAGAAATAAAAGCCGGCTAATTATTTTGCTTTTTAAAGAATGCCTCTCCTTCTTCAATAGATCTCTTTAAAATTTATTATCAGCATATCAATAAATAATAGATTTTTTTTTTTAAATTGTGATCATACAAACATTTCTGAGATGTGGATCACAGCCAAGAAAATGGTCTGTTAATTTTTTTTTTTTTTTTGGGTTCCAGTTGTTTGGCAGCATTGTAAACCTTTATGTGTTTCCCCAAGTATGTTTTGCTGATGAGATCTAAGGTTTAGCTCATCACAAAGAATTTGAGTCCATGTCACCTCTGTATTTAACAGCACAGAGCATAGCAAAAGGGTAACACAGTCTATGGGGAGTCAAAGCTCCATGAAAAATATCACCTCTGTAGGTTTTAAAATAATACTCCTTAGAACACAGGTCCAATAAATGCAGTGTCTGTGCAAATTCAGCCTCTTGAGAAGAATGCCCTCAGAGATACTCTGAATCCATCACTTCTTAGCCTTTCCCATTTGTTTCCTAAAGAGATAATGATTTACTGATTTTGGTACATACTACTTAGAGTTGA